CACCTAGACATGCAAACTGCTAAACATTTGTGAAAGAATGGGTCGCTCTCAGGAGCTCAGTGAATTTAAGTGAGGTACCGTGATAGGTTGCCACCTGTGCAATAAGTCCTTCCATGAAATTTCCTTGTTACTAAATATTCCACGGTCAACTGTTAGTGGGATTATAACAAAGTGGAAGCAAGTGGGAACAACAGCAACTCAGCCACCAAGTGGTAGGCCACGTACAATTACGGAGCGGAGTCAGCGCATGCTGAAGCACACAGAATTCACCAACTGTCTTCAGAGTCAATAGCTAAAGACCTCCAAACTTTAGATGGCCTTCAAATTAGCACAACAACAGTGCATAGAAAGCTTCATGGAATGGGTTTCCATGGCTGAGAAGCTGCATCCAAACCTTCCATCACCAAGTGCAATGCAAAGTGTCGGATACAATGGTGTAAAGTACGCAGCCACTGGACTCTAGAGCACTGGAGACATGTTCTCTGGAGTTAAAAATCATGCTTCTCTCACTGGCAATCTGATGGACATGTCTGGGTTTGGTGGTTGCCAGGAGAACGGTACTTGCCTGACTGCATTTTGCTAAGTGTAAAGTTTGGTGGAGGGGGGGTTATGGTGTGGGGTTGTTTTTTTAGGGGCTGGGCTTGGCTCCTTAGTTCCAATGAAGGGAACTCTTAAGGCATCAGTATACCAAGACATTTTGGACAGTTTCATGCTTCCAAGTTTGTGGGAACAGTTTGGGGGTGGTCCCTTTCTGTTCCAACATGGCCAGTGCACAAAGCAAAGTCCATAAAGACATGGATAAGTGAGTTTGGGGTGGAGGAAGTTGACTGGCCTGTACAGAGTCCTGACCTCAATAGAACACCTTTGGGATGAATTAGAGCGGAGACTGCGAGCCAGGCTTTCTTGTCAAACATCAGTGCCTGACCTGACAAATGGGCTTCTGGAAGAATGGTCAAACATTCCATTAGACACCCTCCTAAACCTTGTGGACAGGCTTTGCAGAAGAGTTGAAGCTGTTATAGCTGCAAAGGGTAAGCCAACTCAACATTGAACCGTACAGACTAAAACTGGGATATCATTAAAGTTCATGTGTGTGTAAAAGCAGGCATCCTAATACTTTTAGCAAAATAGTGTATCTGTGGCTAATTCAGGCAAGTATTTTCACCATTGCCAGTAATAGACGTGCACTCCAGAAATTTTTGTTTAATTTCAGATGCATTTGTTCATTTGAAGAATTTCATTTCGTCATATTCATTAAGTTAAACAGATTCATTTTCTGAATTCGCTATGTATGTTTGGCATTTTTTTTCATATATATATTTGTTGGTCTGGAAAAAAATGTGCCATTTTTCCAGAAGATTGCTATATATTTGATATATTATTGAATCGAACAGAATTGAATTGGAAGGATTCAATATTTTTGGACGCTAGTCCAACCCACCAAGAGAAATGGCATGAGCTGATTGGACAATATTCTGGCATAATTTGCATCCAAATTAACAAATGGAACAACATTCAGATCCACTCGTCATTCGTTACCCATATCTGAATTATCAAACTAATCTGAAAATTGAATTCATTTCCCCATGGGCCTGAACTACCACTCACATCATGTGACGCCATCCGAATGAAACAAAGGAAATAAATACATTTGTTAGTTTTGTTACAATTTTTTTTTTTTTATTTGTTGACATTCGCTACCATGTCCATTCAGAGACTATGATAAATCCGAATGCCTGAAAATGAAATTTTCATCTGAAAAACAAATCAAAATGAAATGATCATGTCTAGTCAGTAATATAAACCAATACATTATTCTTACCTCCACTTTAAAGTAATTTTAAAGGTTGTGTAATAAAAAAAACAAAAATACATATTATACTTACCTGCTCTGTGTAATGGTTTTGAACAGAGCAGCCCCAGTCCTCTTCTTTTTGGGTTCCCCGACAGCAGTCCAGGCTCCTCTCCCCTGCCAAGTGAACATAATAGCAAGCCTTTTGCTATGGGGCTACTCGAGCAGGCTCACTTCCGAGCCGTGCTCCTGTGAATGGGCATTTTCCATTCACACACAGAACATGGCTCGGCCCTGCCCCTTGCTCTCTCCTCATTGGCTCACTGGTTGTGATTGGCTTCCATTGCTGTGTGAGCCAATGAGGAGAGAGAGACCTGGGACAGCTGCTGCCCTCATTCACATCACTGGATCGAGATGAAGCTCAGGTAAGTATATTGGGGGGCTGGGGGAGCTGCATCCAGAAGGTTTTTAACCTTAATGCATAGGATGCATTAAGGTAAAAAAAAAACTTCTGCCTTTAGAACCACTTTAAAGTATATGAAAACCCTCACATTTTAAAACAACCCATTCAGTTTAAATAGAAAAGAAAGGCAAAACATTTGTGTATAGATTAAAAACCACATTATAAATACATTTTCCTTTTTTTTAAGTGATCATATTCCTTCTATATAAGGAGCATAAGAAGCTAAGAAAGAAGAAACAGCAGCAGACTGATCTTCCCAGTGAATGAGTGCGCAGAGGGGACATGTAAGCACGAGTCTGATCATTGGATTAGCTCCCAGCACAGCAAATAAAAACTGACCACACGCTGTGCTCCTGCCTAGTGTGGTCAGTTTTTAATAGAAAAGCAAAGTGACTAGCAGGAACAACAGGGATTTCACACAAAGAAAGCAATACAAAGAGAGCAGAGTACTTTTTTATACAAGTACACGGTACAGCAGGGACATATCAAGAATATGAAATGTTGAGTTTGCATATTCTTTCAGAATCCATGGCTATGGCAGCAACAAATTCTGAAAGAATTTCCACCTTTTCACAGGATACTGGTGATAAATAAGACCAACATTGACCTGGTGTACAGAGGTATGCCAGCACTCAGAGCGAGCCGTGCCTGGGCTGAGAAGCTGTCCTGTCTGGCTTCTCACATAGTGCTGTATCCCTGGCCACATTTAGTTTTCAGCCGGGAGGTTCCCAGACCAAAAGATAACTTTAAAAAAAGAGACTGGGGATACAGCTGATATCATAACCGGAATATGAGCAATGCCCATACCTAGGAAATGACTTGTCACTGAGTGAGAGTGGGAGATTAGCTCCCTATCAGGTCCACTTCTCTTTTGAGTGAGAATGTAGGGCAGTGGGCGGATTCAAAAGCTGCTTTTGAACTGAAGAGCTCCCCTGCTCGGCCCCACCATCGCCTTTGTCCTCTGGCCAGTCTGATTCTCCTTTGGGTCCTGGCAGACTCACCTCCTGCGCCACTAGGCGGTTAGGGGGGGAAGGCACCTGGTGACCAGTAGCCCTCGAGGTGCAGGTGCAGGGTGCTCCATCGGTCGTTGCCCCTAATTTTTTTTTAATAAAGTCTGCATAGACACAGTAGAACTTACAATTTGCTTTATACAGAAAGTTCCAGATTTATCCACTAAAGCAATGCAAAGAGCAATGATGATGTGCAAAGTGTAGCAGCCCATAACAACTAAAGAGATTTTGATTTTCGATGGTCAAATTAATTTTTTTTGGTAGCTTTTGGTAGGACCTTATGTATCACTGGAAAATGTGAAAAAAATAGGTATAGGCAGCTACAAGAGAACAGAATTAACAATGTAATTAGAACAACAATAAAACTGCAATTTATATTATACTTGAAGTTACATTTGATATTGTCAGCTCATATCGTTGTGCATTTTAAACCTACAACCACTTAATAAACTATATTCTACAATGTCTCTGTGTTGTACTTGAGAGATGACCAGGGCATAACAATCCTGTTTGTCTCAATCTTTGACCCTAAACATTCAATCCCCAGCAGGATTGCTTCATGAGCTCCAAGCACTTATCTATTGAATCTCAATTTGATAGAAAAAGATTACATTTTGCTTTCTGTAGGCAGGATTCCATCCATCATTCCCCTGCTGGGGCCAGCATAAAACCTTCCCATCAGCTGTCCTCAGAAACGCACCTCTCTTGTTGTTTCTTCTTCATTTTGTATCACCTTCTACTTTAGAATTGATAACAGGCTTCTGGTAATAGCATTTTGATAATAAAATGTGATTATAGAGGTAAGGGTATTGTAAGACAATCACCAAGCATACAAGAGCTTTTATCTCAAAATACCTGAGCAAAAACAGATGTACATTTTGTCTCAGCAGAGCTACTAGAGCTAATGGAGAAATGGGAATTAAGGAAACTATCGCTTTTTTTGAAAAATAAGAAAATTACACAAAGAAACACATTTTTTTTTCTGTACAGACAAGGCTAATTAATTTCTGCAAAATGGGTATCTGCAACAAATTGTATAAAGAGGAAGTAAAAGCAGAGCCAATAACTGAGGTGAAAACAAACAGGTATATTAGGAACCATTTGGAAACTCGGGCACTGCCCGAGGGCCCGGAGTCAGTAGGGGGTCCCATGAGATGCCCCTGGTACCTTTTTCATAGGCTTTTTTGAGTTTGGGCAAGGACACAGGGGCCCCACAATCCCCTACTGCCCGGGGGCCCCATGAGTTGTCAGTCCGCCCCTGTTAGGGACACCATCCCATGTTCAGGTATTTAGCTGAAGTTTGTAAGTGACACACAAAGTATAAGTAAACCTAATCAGTAAAATATCATATAAGGTAACATAACATGTTAACCACTTGACCTCTGTTTTTACCCCCTTCATGACCAGGCCATTTTTTACTATTTAGCATTGTGCTCTTTAACTGATAATTGCGTGGTCATGCAACAATGTACTCGGTGGTATTTGATCATCACTAGGTTTTTTACTTTTATATTATATGAACGAAAAAAAGACCAAACATTTTGAAAAAAAACTATATTTTTTACTTTCTGTTTTAAAAAAAAAAAAAAACTATTTCTGCATAAATTTAGGGCAAAATGTGTTTTGCTATATGTCTTTGTTAAAAAAAAAATCCCAATAAGTACCGTATTTTTTCGCTCCAGAAGGGGGGGAAAAAAGTCAGTGCGTCTTATGGAGCTAATGTAAAGCGGCCGGTCTGGTATTTCTGCCGCCACCATGTCAGAATATCGGGCCGGCCGCTCAGCTCTTCTCTCCTGCAGGACCTTACCTATTCCTCGCTCCAGCGCTGCAGTCTTCCTGCGGCGGCTTCTGTGACAGCCGGGTGCCCACTGCGCATGCACATGACAGATCCCAGAAGGCTCCGGGCCATTCACAAAGCGCAGCTCTTCTCGCGCATGCGCAGTGGGCACTCGGCTGTCACAGAAGCCGCTGCGGGAAGAAGGAAGTACAACTCTGCGGAAGTTGTCAAATTCAGGTACCCGCTTCCCCTCCCTCCCTAAAGGTCAGCAGTCTCTGGTCATCCCATGTACTGTCTGCAGTCTCTGGTCATCTGTACTATGTCCACAATCTCTGGTCATCCCCTGTACTATGTCCGAAGTCTCTGGTCATCTCCTGTACTGTGTCCGCAGTCTCTGGTCATCTCCTGTACTGTGTCCGCAGTCTCTGGTCATCCCCTGTACTGTGTCTGCAGTCTCTGGTCATCTCCTGTACTGTGTCCGCAGTCTCTGGTCATCTCCTGTACTGTGTCCGCAGTCTCTGGTCATCTCCTGTACTGTGTCCGCAGTCTCTGGTCATCCCCTGTACTGTGTCCGTAGTCTCTGGTCATCCCCTGTACTGTGTCCGCAGTCTCTGGTCATCCCCTGTACTGTGTCTGCAGTCTCTGGTCATCTCCTGTACTGTGTCCGCAGTCTCTGGTCATCCCCTGTACTGTGTCTGCAGTCTCTGGTCATCTCCTGTACTGTGTCCGCAGTCTCTGGTCATCCCCTGTACTGTGTCTGCAGTCTCTGGTCATCCCCTGTACTGTGTCTGCAGTCCATTGGTTCAGAATTTTTTTTTTCTTGTTTTTCTCCTATAAAACCTAGGCGCATCTTATGGTCAGGTGTGTCTTATGGAGCGAAAAATATGGTATATATTAATTGATTTATGTGACAGTTATTAGTGTCTACAAACTATGGTATATATACTGGAATTTTTATTTATATATTTTTTATACTAGTAATGGTGGTGATCAGCAACCTATAGTGTAACTGTGATAGTGTGGCGTGCAACCTGTCACTAACTGCCATTGGGTGGGAACTGACTAACTGACACTGATATCACCAGTAACATTAATACAGTGACCAGTGATAATACAATACACTATCATTGTACTAATGACACTGGCTGGTAAGGGGTTAAAATCTTGGGATAACAAAGGGGTTAAGTGTGTGCCTAACAAGTGTTAATGTATGTACTGTGTGCTGATTTTTCTTAAAAATATCTTTGTTGGTTTGCAGGGAGAAGAAGCAAAGAGATCCTTCCCTCTGTACAAAGCTCTGTATTGTTTGTCAACACAGAGCTCTGGGCTGTGATTGGACACAGCTATTCAGAAGGTCCTGGCCATGAGACCTGCTGACAAAATCTCGTTGTGTACAATCACAGCAGGAGTTAGCAGGGGAAGGGGGGGTACTGAACTGAGAAACCGGTAGCCACCCTGTGCCTGTAAGAACCCCCCCTCCTCTGCAGGTCAATGCGGGTGGTCCTGAAGTAGTTAATGTTATGTAGCACCCTCCTAATCATGCTGCTAGAGTTCAGGTAAATGTAGTTTTTTTTGCTCCCCTGCAGTGTGGGGAGCAGTGTTTAGTTGTTTTTGTCTGTTCTGGGTCCTGCTGGTTCTGGTTCAACTACTTCCTCCTGCATTCCTATGAGCTCTGGAATATTGTGGGTGGCCTGAATATTCTTACAGCCTCAGCCAATACCTGGTCAGGAGAGTGACCAGCAGGGGGCTGAGAGGTGTATAAAGAGGTTGAGGCATCCCTGGGCTGTCGGCTGAAGAACTGAAGTCCCTTTTTTGGCATCCAAGCTCCAGTCAGAGCTTAGGGACCTCTGTCCAGAGTACCCTGAAGCAGGATCTAGGTCAGAGACATCTAATACAAAGACTGGCTGGCATTATAGGCAGGTGGCATTACAGTACCCAGGGCACAGTGAGTACTAGCCTCAAGGATCCTAGAGACGTGCTCTTGGGAGAGCTCATTACAGTAGTCTTGACTATACCCCCATCGAGGGATTTCTACATTGTCAGTGCAATTAAATTCTGCATTCCAGAGGATGGTTACACCCTGAAGCAGCAGATCAGTTACTAGTGTTCTCTGTTGTATTTTCAAATTAAAGGAAGAATGTATTATAAATGGTTAGCTCTTCCGCCTGGCAATACTAGAGTTGTCGGTTTGAATCCTAACCACGGCACCACCTGCTTGGAGTTTGCATGTTCTCCCTGTGTTTCCTCCGGGTACTCCAGGTTTCTCCCACACCCTAAAGACATGCTGGTTAATTGGCTCCTATCTAAATCAATACATTTTATTTATTGAGCAGCATAGTGGCTTAGTGGTTAGCACTTCCTCCTGGCAGTACTAGGATTGTCAGTTTGAATCCCAACCACAGCACTACCTGCCTGGAGTTTGCATGTTCTCCCTGTGCCTGCGTTGTTTTCTTGCACACTCCAAAGACATGCTGGTAGGTTAATTGGCTCCTACCTAAATTGGCCCTAGTATCTGTATGAATGTGAGTTAGGGACCTTAGATTGTACGCCCCTTGAGGGTTAGGGACTGATGTGAATGTACAATATATAGGTAAAGCGCTGTGTAAATTGTTGATGCTATAAGTACCTGTAATAAACTATAGTGCACAGTGAGTACCGCGACTCTATACAGTTCTCTAGGTCATTTCAGCTGCATGTATTATCCATGCAGGCTGGACTGGAGACACATTTTGAGGTTGCTGTTTAGGTACCGACACCGGTTTACTAGCTGCACAAAGCTCCACTTGCTACACTATGCATACTCAGCTTAGCCACTATTAGGAATAGCACTGCTATCAGTCTTTTCATAAATATATCATGATAATACCTCAATATTCTCACCCTATAGCCAAAGCAAACAAGTGCTAAACTATATAAACATCCTGGTCTTCCATAACACCTCAGCAGTGCCACAGGCTGTTAGCTTCCATGCCACGCGCATTGAGGCAGTAATTGCTGCAAAAGGGGCCCAAACCAAGTACTGAGTACATATGCATGCTTATACTTTTCAGAGGTCCGATATTGTTCTATGTACAATCCTTGTTTTATTGATTGCATGTAATATTCTCATTTTCTGAGATTGTGGATTTGGGATTTCCATGAGCTGTAAGCCATAATCATCACAATTATGACAAATCACGGCTTGAACTATCTTGCTTTGCATGTAATGAGTCTATCTCATATATTAGTTTCACCTTTTAAGTTGCATTACTGAAATAAATTAACTTTTGCACGATATTCTAATTTTTCGAGCTTCACCTGTACTTTTGCTGCCACACCACCAGCTTGGAACTGTAAATCATCCATGACAGCAGTGATCCATTTACTGCACATGCTGCTTACCTGTCTGTACATATCTGTTGTTTACTGTAGCCCATCCATCCATCCAAGACCTTTGGGTTACAGCACATCTAGTTATATAGTGACTTTACACCCATTTCACACCGTGATTGTCTACAACAATTGGACTGACCCTACATTTTTCAGGACTTCATGTGCTGTATGCCTATTGATCTGTATTGGGCTTTCATTTGTGGTGCCTGTGTTTTAGGGTCCATCTGAAATCTTGGGGACACTTTGGGCTGGGTTCATGCAGTATTAGGGGAGAGTATCATCAGGGGGGATTAGTTAGGCATGGGTGGGTTCCTCAGCTCTTCCCCAGTTAGAGGAGTTTGGCAGGTGTTGTCCTTCTGGTGGAGGTTATGGCCTGTCCTGGGAGGTGGATCATAGGTAATGGGGGTGTTTTGTTTTGGTTGGGGGGGGTGGTGTTTTACCTGGGAGGATCTGGGGGGTTCAGGGGGCAGAGTTTTGCAGATGGATGAGCTACAGTCCACTTTCGAAACAGTAAGAAGTATGTTTAGACATGACACAACAGCTACAGCAAAAGAAAATTGTTAACTATGCCCATTGCATTGTGCGTGACAGAGACAGTTTCTATAATAATTTTCCCAATGGGATAGAGAGATGTGGATGGAAGATTCCATAAGAGCCCCCCCAAACGAGTCAAAGCCAACCCAGAGGGAAATTGTGTTAGATTAGAACTAAAGTGACAGATCACGAAACACAGAGAAAGAGATAAAAAAAATTTTAGAGCTTAATTCTGGTAAACCTAAAGTATATGGCTATGCCTGAAAGATCTGTGAGGCTTAGCCACAGAACTAAGTAGCTGGATCAGTGACGGAACCAACTGGTAGTGGCAGATGGCAAGAGAGTATTACTGAGACAAATTGAGTTGCTATTAATTGGCTAACATCTACTGTATACTCATTTTTATTTCTATGGTAATTACCTTTTAGGGCACCTGAGCCTTATTGTGCATTACTAGACCCTTATACAAAATATGGTATATTAAGGACAAAAATGATACATTAACCAAGTAATAGAACAATTATTTTACACAAGTACTCTTTTTCATTTTGTAAATGTAATTCATCATTCCCTTTGATAGCATTGTTTTATTTGTGTTGATATTTGCAAGGTATACTCATGATTGAGTTCCCTTTCATCTATAATGTATAATACAAAATAAAGATCATTAATTAAGCAAACATCATTTCTAACTATAAAGAACAAGACACATTATTTGCATTTTTATTTCAGTCAAATTCTTTTGGATTGGTAACAGGTCTTTGTTTTGTTCGTACATTTTAATTTCTAGTAATGTCTTTTTTAGGAGGTTTAGTACACAGTAAAAATGGGATTTTATGTAATTGATATAATTATTCTTTATGCTTCCATATTTTTTTATACAAATGTGTGGTAAGTATGAATCCTTGTTACCTAATTTTCCTAATTATTTGTCTATTTTTAACTTTATTATGTTATGACTTGTGTTTACTCTTTCCTCTTTATTACTATGGTGTCAGCAATGTATTCACACTCAGGAGTGGACTGACAACTTATGGGGCTTCTGGGCAATAGGGGATCATGGGGCCCCTGTGTCCTTGCCCAAACTCAAAAAAAGCCTATGAAAATAAGGTACCAGGGGCATCTCAATGGGGCCCCCTACTGACCCCGGGCCCCTCGGGCAGTGCCCCGATAAGTGCTCAAATGGTCAGTCCGCCCCTGCTTGTGTGAACTCATTTTTTAGGAATA